AATAAAATTCTATAAAATCTTATGGTTCACGACATTTTACTAATTAATTCTAACTTTGTGCACTAATTAAACTTGTTTATAACCTAAACATACATTTAAATCAGTAGTGTTATTTGAAATTTAGTGAATAGATGCATAATTTTGGATTTTTGATCAAAAAAGTCAAATTTAAGCATCTATTGCTAAATTTCAAGTAAAATAAAAATAACACTACCGATTTAATGTATGTTTAGGTTCTAAACAAGTTTAATTAGTACATAATATTAGAATTAATTAGTAAAATATCATGAATTATAAGATTTTATAAAATTTTATTAATAAAATTCTATAAAATCTTATGGTTCATGACATTTTACTAATTAATTTTAACTTTGTGCACTAAGTAAACTTGTTCAGAACCTAAACATATATTAAATTGGTAGTGTTATTTTTATTTTACTTGAAATTTAGTGAATAGATGTATAATTTTGGATTTTTGATCAAAAAAATCAAATTTAAGCATCTTTTCTCCAAATTTCAAGTAAAATAAAAATAACATTACCGATTTAATGTATGATTAGGTTCTGAACCAGTTTACTTAGTACACAAAGTTAGAATTAATTAGTAAAATATCGTGAACCATAAGATTTTATAAAATTTTATTAATAAAATTCTATAAAATCTTATGATTCACAAAATTTTACTAATTAATTCTAACTTAATATACTAAATAAACTTGTATTTATTAATTGTTATTTTTGGCTTCGGATACTAACAGTATCCATTTCCTAATATATATATTATAGTAAAGCATCTATTTATTAATTTATATATTTTTATATGATTTAAAGTATATAATAATCTTTATTCAAAAATCGATCTCTAATACTATTTCTAAATACAAACCTATTCTTATTATAATTCTATTTTTAGTCTAACCCTAAACTAACTCTATTTCTAACAAAATCCCGTTTTTAATTACCCTAACCTATTTTTAACCACCTTAACCTATTTTTAACTATAGTCTTAAACCCAATTCTTCAAATTTAACCTATTTAATCATACTATAGCCCAAATCTAACTATTATGCTTGTTCCAAATCTAACTATTGTATTGTGTTCTAAGGTTAATAATTATTTTGGTTAATTATATATTGTCTTGAAAACAATTGTTAAAGTAAACAAAATTAAGCTTTACTTATATTAATTAAATAATTACGGTTAATTATAAATTCTCTTGAAACATGGTTGTTAAAATAAATAGAATTAAACAATTAAATAACTACAGTTAAATACACATTCTCTTGAAACACAATCATTAAAGTAAACTTCATACTCATTCTAATAATTTATTAAATGATTAAATAATTACAGTTAATATACATTCATTTGAACACAAATATTAAAGTGAATAGAATTAAACTTTATACTTATCTTGGTAATTTATTGAACAATTAAATGATTATAGTTAATTCGTGATTCACGTAGGAACTAGTGAAATTTATTATTAGATTTTGGAAAAATATTTGCAGATCACTTATAAAAAAACTAAAAATGGCAAACTTTTACTTTATATTAACCAAACAAATTAAATTCCGGTTGCATTAAAGTAGTAGTACAAATCGATTACGTAAGACCAAAAGAATCAAGTATCGGTATTTTTTTTTTTAAAAAAAGTTGATTATTAAAAACTTTACATTGGAGAAACGCCAGATTCTGCTCCTCTAAAACCTTAACCTTTGCGATTTGGGTACGTATGTATGTAAACTTTTATTACATACTATCGTAAATTTTTACTTGCGCTGTTCTTTGCTTGTGTTGCGTTGCATATCTTGCGATCCAGTTTTGAATAGTTGATACTTTTGGAACGTCGCTTTCCTCTAGATTACCCATTTTTACTAACTCCATTAATTCATTTCACATTTCCTCCGCGCTATATCTGTCACTTTTATCAGCATTATCCACCAAAAAATATTCTTCCAAATAAGCTATTACGTGCTTACTAATTCTTTTACCTGCTCCTTTTTTTTCGAATTTTTGATTTTCTTTTAGCGCCCACCCTAATGTAAGTGGAAATTCTTCATGCACGCTTTTATTTGGTAGTATATTATAAATTTTATAAGTCTATATATTGACATAAAAAATTATAACTATGAACGGATTTAACATTACTTTTTTTCTTCGCTTAGTTCTTGTAGGTAGTCAGCCGTTGAGTGATGAGAAATAACTACTAAAAGTATGGGTCAGATAATCATATAATTTGTAGAAAAATATAATAGAATAGAGACATATTACCTGATTTATGTAGTAATGGGATAAACCATGGAGATTTGGGGGTCGAATGCTGAGTTACTTGAAGATGCGGTTTTTGTATTTCTTTCTTTTTCAATTTCTCTAATTTCGCCGGTAAAAAATTGTTCCATTCACCAATATTAGGTATAGCACGTGCTCGAATGTATCCTGCATAATCGCCATCGCATGGCCACTCCTATGAGAACCAATTAGAGTTACCCGGTAAAGTATTGATCCGTTTTTTACCTGAAACTAAAAAAAGATCAATTTATCCAATGCTTTAAATCTCATACACTTGTCTTATCTTTAGTACGTTCTGGTTTTAGATGGGCCACTGATATTCTACGAATTCCTTCAATCGCTAATTCAATATCTGATCCTTGTGAAATATCAAATCCTAGACAGACGCGACGACTGATTGCGTGCAAAATCTAGAAAACATTCAAAAAAATAAAAAAAAAATAATAAAATAAAAGCAAAGCAAAAAAAAAAAAAAAAAAAAAAAATTAATAGATAAACCTATGCATGATGAGAATCAATGGTCGTTTTGGCTTCTCCGGCTTCGAGAAAAGTCCATTTTCTAACATGAATGTTGTACCATTTTTTTCATAGCCCCATAATCATCATTAGATCTGCATTGTGATAATGAGGACCATTATCAGACAAAAAAGAAATCCATTCTGGCTGAGGATTGAGTTCAGTTATTGCGGCATGTAACGAATAAGCTGTGAACCAAGCGTCTTGACGTGAATCCGTAGACCAATGGTCAAAAACACGAACTTGTAAATTATTGCTATTGGGCAGGTGAGTATATATCAATACTGAATGCAATGACCATTCTTTTTTTCCAAAGAAGTCTTGTTTTGTTTTACGTGCACTTTTTGGTAGAACTTTCATTTTATAGTCTACAACAATTACAGCCCCTTTTTTATCAAGCTCACCTAAATGCGCATTAAATTGCGCATTTAAATAAACTTTTCTTGTTTGATGTGCTAAATAATATAATAAATATTCTTGTAGTTCTTTTAATTCTACATGAATTTCAGATAGTGTGTGATCTTGAATTTGTCTAAATAAGTAAAAAAAAACTCCACAACGATTACAGGTTAGTTTATGCAATTCCGAGCAGGTTCCAAAAGCATAGAGCATACAATAATTAATACAGGTATCGTGTTTTATATATCCAAAAAAATCTACTTTGAGTTCATTTTCGTAATCCTTTTTTAAATATTTTTGTAGGTTATTACATTCGGATAATAATTGTTCCTTATTATTATTGAATTACGAATTAGTTGATATTAAAGGGCAAACACGTGTCAGATTCAAAATTGACAAATTAAATGACATACCTTGAATACTATTCAACTTGTAATATGATAATTTCGTGGACATTTATGTCCGTGGAATCACATGATAGAATTATTGTAGCAAACATGTTGAATAGTATTCAAAGGGCGCTAGATTACAGATTAGTATAGTATGTACGGGCCGATTTGAAAATCTGTACCATACTGAATTCGGTTTTATATATAGGTGCGCGAGAGGGAAAACCTGTAAGTAAAAATGTTTCACCTGAAAAATTATGATGTTACTTTCATAATTAATCATATATATAATATATATGTTTCATTACATAACATCACAATTTTTTAGGGAAAACATTTTTACTTACAGGCTTTTTTCCTTGTGCACCTATATATTAACGTTAGAGTTAGGAATTATAGCTGATCAGTACGGTATGGTTGTCCTGTACCATACTGATCCGCTTATCCATATCATACTGATTTCCAAAGGCACTAATTAATATGTTGAATTTAATACCTGATGATCCAAGTTTGCATAGCGTTGTACTAATGCTCTAAGCTCATCAAATGTTTCATATCCATACATATTACAGATTGAGCAAAGACCACCTAAGTCTTCCTTATATATATATTGGCCACCTTGTAGATATTTATAAAATGTTGTTCTTTTAATGCCGTTAGGATACTCTTCGTGAAACCGTTCCCATAAAGCCTCTTTATTATTTTTTAAATAATATACAGGTAATCCAGTAGTATTATCTGATTTGTAAGAGCTCATTACTACGTTCGCTTTATTTTGAAAAAAATACTCAATTTGTTCTTTCTTTTCTGGTGCTAATTTTTCTAAAGTAATCTTAGGTTTTTCAAGTTGGATACCTCCCGGACCATTAATACGCGCATATTGGCGTGCTTCAGTAATTAGATAGTTTGAGACCTAAGATAAGTATTTTGTTAGTTCAAAGGTTTTTTAATATTGCTTAGATACTAACTGGTAACTTTTTTTTGATTATTTCATAGGGAATTTTATTCGCAATAATTGACAATATTCTTCTCTTTCCATCTATTCCACGAATGTTAACGTCTAAAGCATCCTGAAATGCACTCCAAAATTGTTCTGCGACCTTTTTGTGATTTTTTGGAGTAGTACTAAAGTATCTGCTTTTGTACAACTGCTTTAACATCGCTTGGTCACTTGCCGGGTCTTTTGATCGAGTTCAAAATTCAAACTACAAGTAACTGTGAGGTTAGAATTATACATATATTTGTGCATCAGATTAATATTTATGTCATCTTAAAAAATTATCCTTGTCTCACTTTTTTTTTTTTTTTTGCCTCCATAGTAAAATACTATGAGGCGACATTGTCGCATTTTACTTGTTTCCACTTTAAATTGGATCTGATACAATCTTTTTTTTTTTGAACCTCATCAGGACTCCATATGGTGTATGAAATCTGACACATATTTTAATCTGATGCATAGTATATATTTGTTATCATTTATTTATTTTAAAAGGTTTACCACAGATTCTTTTCCGAAAGGTGTTATGTTGGTACAGCCTGTACGTTGTAATAAAGCTCTCCAGGCACGCAATTCATGACCTTTAATTATATAGTTTGGTGGGTATATTTTTTGTAATTTTGTTGTTAATTCAATAAGATTACTTTCTTGATTCTGCCAGCTAATAAAAAAATTTTTTCAAATTATAGATATATTGATATGTCTTCTCAGATGATAATTAAAAAGCGTATCCATTATTTGTTCATTTTGCCAATCGTTGACGGTACACGAAAGGGTTAGTTCTTTGCTGATTTCTGACTTCGTTCGTTCATGTTCAAGTCCAAATAGCATGCTTCCTGTAAATTGTACTAATATACCAATTTTACTCCAAACAGAATTAGGGTTAGTATCATGAAAAATCCGAATTTCTTGAAAATTTTGATAAATTCTAACAATCGCATTATTATTATTAAATTCTTGAAAAAATATCGTTCGAGTTTTGCGAAAGTTATATACAAAAGAGCTTTGGTATCCTTTTCCAGCATAATTCCAATCGGGGTTGTTCAATTTACCAATTTCGAAAATAATCACATTTAAGTTTCCAATTTTAAAGGTATAAGGATGAAAATAAATATCAGAAAGTAACATTTTATATATCTCTGAATCATCATAACCCATAACTAAGAGACCATCTAATCTAGTTTTTGTAGAAAAAGCTTGTTGATATATAGAAGTAATTGCTTCTGAGGAACTTTAACATATATTACTTTGCAAAGCTTCTGATTGACATATATACCTGGGTTCAAAGTTATTCTGAACAACTGTAATTATGAAGTCACGCTGGTTTACTGTAGTTATAGTTTTCATCCCGAGACGAATTAGATAGAGAAATGTATATGTTAAGTCATTATGAGTTGGACGTGAAATCCACCAATATTTAGCATATGGCCCAAAATGTAAGTTTTGTATTAGTTCGCCTTGTAATACAATTGTAACTTTGTATTTTGACATGTTAGTATATTTACTAATGTAAGATTGAGTTTTATGTACTAAAGGCTTTGTCAGTGTGCAGTGTAAATTACTTTTATATTGACACGTTTTTTTTAAATTACAAATTGTTATGCTTAGTAAATTTTATTTATAATCGCTAACAGCTTGTTGAATTTAGAGCATTTAAGCTCGAAAGTTATTTTATTTTGATCAATATTTATAAAAGATTGAAGTTCTACAGTATGCTATCCTGAATAATGCTTATTAAACCTTTTAACTTAAAATAAGCAGAAACAGGAATTTTAGTAAAAGAATGCTATTGATGTATCTCGAAACGTCTAAACTTATCGCTTTTTTCAAATCAAACAATCGAATTCTGTGGATTTTACTGTACGAGCCCCATGTATTACTATTATAAAACAATTGAAATTTATAGATTCGATTGTCTTGTTAATTTGAAAAGTGCGATGAATAAGATTAAAATTGTTCATTTTTAGCAAGAGGTGCCCGTGGTCTTAAAGCCTGTAATATGCACATAAAAATTTCTACAACTAAATTTGGTATTTCAAGCCTAATACCAAACACTTTAATTCAAGTTCATATCGAATTTAAAGAGTTGGGTATCTGGTTTGATATACCAAACTTAGATTTCATTTATGTGCAAGTAATTTTAAGGGTTGGGTACGTATCTGGTTTAATATACCAAACTTAGAATTTTATTACAGTATTATCGATCATTTATATGCAAGTAATTTATTTTGAAATAACTCACATGAAAGCGATGATACTCAGTATGCGGTGATAGATAAAATGCAAATCGTAGTATTGATACTTTATTTAGAGTGTCCAGACTTGTGCAAATTAAAACGCAAAATAAAAATTTTTATTGTGATAGCAATTAAAATTAGGGATAGCGATAACAATAACAAGCAATTATTACTATACACACCATAGTGTTTAGTTAAATTTAGATCAAAAAGTTATATATTATGTGCATTAGCCTTTACTGTATTATGTTGATATTAAGCAATATTTATCGAGCACTATTATTTTTAAATGCGAAATGCTTGTTGGTCAATAAAACCTTTCATTATATAAGAAAGAAGGTATTTATGCCATTAATAATAAAAAATAAAGAATTATTATTATTTCAAAAGATTTAATACAAATATTGCACTAGTTACATCAAAAAAAAATAAATTTACCACGTATTTTATATGTCAAACCTTGTATTTTATGACGATATACAGGGCGGCTCTCCAAAGTTCAGGTTGACAATTAACGTCATTGCTGCAGTATATAATGGTTTATAGCATAAATTCGTTAATAAAATACTGTGTTGGTCACAGTTAGAGATGCAGGTGGAACTTGAGACTTGGAATTCATACGGCATTTGGAATTCATACAGCACTTAGGATTCATACGAAATTTGGATTCATGTGGCTTTTGCCGCAACCATAACCGTAACTTGCTGTATATCGCATAGTTCATTGGGACAGTTTCGCCTACACCTCTAGTCACAGTTACAGTATATCATTTATCAATCTAAACTTTAGGAAGGCCGCCCTGGTGGTATTTGTCGTATTTAATATATTAGATAGTACTAAGTATTTAATTAGAATCAATGTTTTTTTCTTAGTATTATTTATTTAAAAGCTAGATAACTTTAATGTATTAGTATATTTTTTTAAAAAAATAATGTGAACATATAAAAAATATTTTTTTTTATATTGGGAACGCGTAGATTCGAAAATTAAGTAAAATTGTATATGTAGATTATCCCCAACTTTTATTATTATAGATCACTGGTTCCTACGCAGATCATGAATTAATCTCAAATTTTCTCGAAACACAATTATTAAAGTAGACGGAATTAAACTTCATACTCATTCTGATAATTTAGTGAACGATTAAATAATTATAATTAATATATATTCTTTTGAATACAGTGAACAGAATTAAACTTTATACTCATTTTGGTAATTTATTGAACAATTAAATGATTACAATTAAATTTTTTTGAAACAAAATCGTTAAAGTGGATGAATTAAATGCAACTCCAAAGGTAAAGCACCAAGAAAGAAGGTGACGAAACCTACCTACCAATGTAAACTTCATAAAATTTGACTCCAACAACAATGACAATTTCTATGACAGCTCCAACATCGACTCCTACGACAACTCTAGAGAATGGCGATTATAATGGTGCTGTTAAACTGTTAGCAAAAAATAAAAATAAAAATATATAAACACATATATGATCATTACTAATGTAAAAACCTGATGATCATCTGGGACAGGGTCGGTAAGTCGGAGCGCATGTGATTTGGAAAATCTCACCTATATCCTGGATTTGTTATAAAAATATACTGACCAAAGAGGTTACCTTTAATAATAAAAAATAATAATAATAATAATATAAATAAATAACTATATAATCTAATTTAAGCAAATTTGGAAATAGTTAAAGTTAGAATGAAATTTATAGTTTATATTAAAGTTAGATTAAGGTTAGGAATAGAGTTTTTTTATATTATAATCTTATAATATTTCTATATTGTTTAGCTATACTAAAAAAGATCTAAAAATAATATGATTTGCAAAAAATTAAAATTGAGTTTTAGACAAACAATACTATATATTTATCTAGTATTTTTTTATTTTTTTATTAATTCTTTGATAGTCTTGTTGGTACTTAAATACAAATTATATTACTATTAGACTAAAAACAAAGTTTAAAAATTTCTAATAGAGGTGTGGCGACTTAGTATAGTGGTCTAGTCATCATCCTCTTTAAGTGGCAGGTTTAGAGTTCAAATCTCACTAGCGATGATATTTGAAAAATAGACCTGTGTTTAGTTGATAGCTATGCTTATCGGTTAGATCTAGAACTATAATCTGTAACTTTGGCTACACCATCTAGAAATGGGAGCTTCAGCGCAATAAACTCAAGGAACCAGCATAATCGAAAATCCATTTGGGAAGACCTGAATTTGAAGATAGCAGTGATCTTTGATGGTATCACAGGAGGGCTGAATTCGAACTGGGGCCTGAAATTAGAAAACTGAGTAACTAGGTCCTATGGCAGAGGACACACTAGCTGAACCACCAGGTTGTCGCACCAGAGGAAAAGGACATATGCTCCGAAAGTATAGACCAAGGGGAGGGCGTCCTTCAGGCACCTAAAGCCTGGGCAGACCAACCCTTCTAGGTTGCTAGCTGGAAGTAAGGAAGAGACCGATAAAGAATCTGAGTAAGAAGACGGTCTGAATGTGGGTATTGGGGTTGTTGTGAACCAAATAAGGGCAAGAAGTATATAATGGGCGCCTAATTAGGAAGGTTGGTGCTTAAGAAATGTTTGTAGAATGACAGCACCCCAAAAGGTGGCGTGAGATACAAATACAGAATGGCAGATCAATATGTACTAATTAGGAAGCTATTGCAGAACATGCAGGTGAATACATGTGTGGGACATGTACCGCTCTGTTAGGTTTATCTCGAGGATAGACTAAGTTAAGTCCTAAGGCAGGGTGCCAATTCCTATAAGTAGATGCAAAATCCACAACCATATGGTAAGTAATACTTACGGGTTAGAGTTATGATAGAGGTAGTTGAAACCAGATAGTTTAAATGGGTACCCCCCTAGTTGGGGTGCAGATATGGCAGATAGTGTAGAATCTTCGGGTGGACTATTTAAATTAGGTACTCAAAAGGTGCATGTATGGCTTGATATACTATCATTGTAACTACATTATAAAACTCTGTTTACATTCTAATAAAACGTTCTCCAGGCCAAAGGTCCCCTTAATAACAAAAAAAAAAAAATTTCTAATAATATCTAATTAAAATTGCAAGCCTGGTATTATTTAGCTACATCATATGCACCTAGATATGACTTGTTGTACCAACCCACATGTGGGTTGAAAGACCTTGTATCAAAAACTAAACCAAAATGAGATTGATCCATTTTCAAACCATTTAACAATACTTATCTCAAATAACCTCATGACTTTTGCTTCTTTCTTAGTATTTATTGCTTTACCTATATTACTTGACTCAACCTTACTCTTGCTTTCCCTTACTTTTAACATTGCATTCTTAACAGTACCCTCAATAGCAGGATTCTTCTAATTACTTCTTTTCATTGCTGTATTTACATCAGCAAATTATATAAACGTAATCTTACGTAAGATATTACGGCCCATAATATTGCGCAAGAATTACGGTCTGG